GCACGAAAGAACGAGGAGCCATGGCTTTCTTCTTCTCAATCGACTACAGGACGTTCCACAAGTGCACCCTAAGATGGCTGCAGTGGAGAATTCCTGGACATTTCATAGACCGGACCGAAATTCCCAAATTCAATCAAACAACACACTTCTAAAGTTAATGTGAAATCCCCTTCAGCATCATTCCAGCGAAGAGCTCCCACCCTTCCTCCATGGGAAGAATATTCCCTGGACCAAGTGCAGCGTCGAAATTTCGACTCCTTGTTTACTGGTACTGGCATGCTACTAGTAGCTTCTTGTTACTAATTAGCAATGCCAGGAGCGTCCCTGGTAGCTTCTTGCTCGTAGCGTTGCCCTTTGTGACGATATGTGACGATAGGAAGGCGTCCTGTTGTGACTCCCTAAGAATCCAGGCCCTCGGACGGGTCCCTCAGCACGGGTCCCTCGGCAGCCTTCGCTTCGGGTGCGACCCACGAGGTCCGGCCACACCGTGCGTCCGAGCGGGAACCGCGCTTCGGCCGCCGTTCGCCGATGGTCGACCTGAACGAAACTCGTTCGGAGATTTGGAGCTGAACCACCACCTGGAACCCCAAACAACCAGAAAGAAATGGATGTGTCCCCAAACAACCATGACCTATGGTTGTTTGGGGTTCGAGGCAGTCATCAAGAGTAGAACCATAGGCAGATGGGGGGGAGTCTGATCCATCACTTCAAGGTGCGGCCCGCCCCGGTCTTGCCTCGTCTTCATGTCACACTGCCTTGACTTCACAAACTCCTCAGTCCACCTGTGGACTGCGATCACATCGTTCTCCACCCATCCCATCCCGTCCCCGTCCCCACGTCCGACCACCACCGTCTCCGTCTCCGCCCCCCCCGACCCGACCGAGGCGACGGACCGGTGCCGGAGCTCCGTTTTGGTCTTCGACCGAGCGGGAAAACCGGGTCGTTCGCGGCACGGCCAGGGGCGTTCGCGTGGGGGGGAGGGCGGGCTCTTTCAGAGGCGCTCCCCCCCCCTCCCGTGGACCCCAAGCAAAGCGAGGCCGATCGGCCAGCGCGGTCCTTCTGGGGAGGACGGATTTCGACCCTGGAACGAACAGGACATGAAGTGGGTAAGCATGTTTAAGCCCGGTTTTTTCCACAAATGTCCGAACAGGAAATTCGAAATCTAAAAGCATGGCAATAGAAAGAGGCCAAGTTCGGGTCATGAAATTGATTTGCTTCTCTGACTTTCAAATCGACTAAGGTCAAAGATGTGATCTTCTGCCTGGTTGTGTGTGGCGTACATGCAGGAGTTTTGGGGATGCTAGCGCTGCCCAGACTAAGATGTCTTGAACAAGTGCCAATGTGGAATTTCTGGTTTATCTTTGATGGACAACTACTCGCATGAGCCCCATGGGCAGGTGCAGTGGAAGCGAACCAAGTGCGGCAGCAGCGGGAAAGAACCACCCTCGCCCGAACTGCCACTTGGACGTCTTGCGTCAGCCTCGCTACACACTCCGATCTTGTCTCATAACGAAGGGGGATCTTTCAAGAGGAGGTTGAAGAAACTCAAGGAGACTCAAGGACACTCAAGCCCGAGGAGAGAACGTAGGCAGGTGTTCTCAGATCGTTTTGTGGGCATTTTCTCGTCGGTTGACAAGGACTTCACCGACCTCACCACAGCGGCTGTGACCGACCTCAATGCAACCACTCTGGGTTCGGTGGGTCTGGCAAACACACAGTGTTCTTTAGCAGTTAACCCTGCTGCCGACACGAACCTGTCAAGTCCTTATGGAAGCAAACACACACAAATCAACAAAACACAATAAAACCGCATGGTCATTCTGGTCTGTTTGCTTGAGGTTTCTGAGAAACATCACTGCTTCAGTCGTGTTTGGTGCCAAACCCAGGTACTAGTTTTCACGCGGTGAGATGTGTCTGGACCACACGTGACGCGCGCGTCGCACGCGTCGCGTCGCGTTGCACGGGTGGGTTCCGTGTGGACGGCACCGACGCACCGACGGCGTCGGGTCGGGCGCCACGTGTTCGGCTGAACGCCCCGCGGATTCGCCAAAAAAAGGACTCGCAGGCCTCGCCTGGGGCCTTTGTTCGGAGCCCTGGTTGCTTGCAGAAGAACCAGAATGAACCAGAAGAACCAGAGTCAGAACGAACGTTTGCCTACACCCTGGCCTTTGCCTTGATGGCCATGCCTAAACAAGTACTATGAGGTCTTGGATGGTCTTGGTATCTCTTGGTCACATCCCTACACCCTGAGGGCATCCATTGGGTCCCAGGCGGCACTTTGCGGCGGTGTTGCGGAGACCGGCGGGCGGTGAAAGCGGCGAGCGGCTTCCGCCCAAGGCGCAGGGTGCGGTTTCCGCGCTGAAACGCGTGGACACGTGAACTTTGTAAAGAAACTGGAGCTGAATTGGCTTCTCCTTACGAACCAACAGAGGTTTAATTGACCTTATAAGACCCGTCATTTGGGGTACCTATAGTACGGATAGTCGAAGCCTAAGGGAATCTTCAACCTCTGGAACTCAAGGATTCCATGGGAACATGTCCCTCCCATTCCTATTCGTAGCAAGAAGCTACTAGGGTGGAGGCCATCGCTACTAGTAACAAAGGGCATCGCTACGAATGGAGCAAGGACGCTACTATAGTAGCAGGGGCATCGCTACCGCACCGATCTCGCTGCACCTTGGGGCTCCGCCGGGCGGATGCGGCGGGCGGACGCCGGCGAGCGGGCGAGCTCGGGTCAAACGCTCGCGCGTCGATTCGCTCGAGGAGACAGGTGATCCATGATCTCATTCATCTGACCTCGGTGAAGAGGTGGAGAGCTGAGGAGGTGAAGAAGATGAGAGAAGACTGGAGGACAAAACATAACAAACCTCGAGTCCGTAGAGTCTCTATGAGTGGAGAAAAGGCCGCCCATACCTCTTGACATGAGCTCTGGGAGGAGGCCGACTTCGAAATAAATTGCATGATATTTCGAAAACATAGGCCTGGAAAGACTGGTGGCTTTCAAAGACTGGCTTGGATCATCGTGAACGCTTTCTTTTTCGCTCCGGTGACCCGATGCTTTCACGCCGGGTAATTGCCCGGATCCCTTTCCCAAGAGCAGTCGGAGATCTCACTCCGAACCAGTTGGGCTAGCCAATGTGTGCACCGAATCCTTAATTAAAGTCCCGCGCAGCATGTCCCTTGCGAAAACACGAGACCCAAAGACCAAAGAGATGCATTTTGAGACATTCATGAATCATATTCCCAAACACTCCATGTGTGGAATATTATTGGAATATACATTGACCCCCGAAATCACCCCAATGTCGGCAAAAATGGCATACATGGAGTCATGGAGTCTGGGATTCTATATCGTTTCCGGAATTTTCAGGAGGCCTATCTTCACCCACGCCCACCAAACACATCTTCACTCTGGCTGTTGATACCCTCTAAACAGTTTGAGTGTTTGGAGGCCTGCACAACTATGCATGGCAATAGTGGATGATGAGGAGAAGGACGAGGAGGACGGGAGGAGGAGAACGAGGACGAGGAGGATGATTCCAAGGGACTCTCAATTCCCAAACTTACAAACAGCGACCGCGTTTCCTCAACTGCTCCAGTCCAAGGACGAAAGCATGGCGCCGTACATCACGCCTTACACCTTCTATCTCCCCCCTGTCCCTCGATGTCCCTCGCCCTTCGACCTCCAAGCGGCTTTCCACGAACTCGCACAGGGCATCGAAGCGGATGCTTTGTCGGGTGGCGTCGTACATCAGCGCCATGACATCTAGCTTGGTGGCCTCGAACGCCGCGACTCCGACGTCGACGTGGGAGCCAGTGAGTTCGGAAGCCGTCTGATCTGAACTCGCAGCTCTTTCTTGGTAGAGCAAACACACCGCCCTTTTTCACAAGGCTTTCAGTTTCAATCTCAGCTGCTGAGTACTCAGTACTCGTCACGGTGTGGCCCTCCCCGTTCTCTCTCTCTCTCTCTCTCCCCTACCGTGGTGACTCTTGATGAACCTCCAAGCTTGAACCGGATGGATCCCTCACAGGCCGTCATAACCAAACCCCCCGTACTGACACGGGATGGACATGGTCCGGCAAATGGGATCCATGTCTACATCTTCGTTTGGGCGCGTCCCGAACCAGTCAGATGACCGACTTGACCAATCGGATTCCGCTCTCACGCGGCATCCTGTGCTTCCCACGTACTCCGTCGCCGATCTGGATGGGCTTTGATAGGCTCAAAGCCCTCCATAACCCATCCTTCTGGATGATGTTCAACACTAGAAGCACACGAAGCTGATTCTGTCGGACCTAGACGACAGATTCGCCAAGGCAAAGAAATCGAAGGAAAACCCCTAGACTCTATGACACAAACACAAACATTCCAATCCCCTTTGAAGACCACTGAAAGGAGATTGTTTGACAGGTGGTCCAAACTGGATGAACAACCCGAAAAGAGGCGCAAACACTGTCTGATTGATGGATTTTATATGATTTTATCATGATTTACTCATTCTTTCGACATACCCCCTTCTTTCGTGGACCTCCGGGCACCTCCACGGACCTCTGATTGTTGGGTTCTCCTCCCCCCGACGGCCGCACCGCGCTGGCTCTTCTGCGGTCCGGCGGCATAACCTTTGAGCTTCATGGTGCCATGCACAAACTCCTCGAAGGAACGAGGGATGGATGGACAAATGCGGATTCTCCAACCAAAAATGGCCACCTGAAAACAGAAGCACCCTATACATTAAAAACATCTATTAAAAATTGATTGCAATTGAAAGATTTCCTGAGATGGAAAAGACCAGAACCTCTTGGAAAGCAGAGTTTCATTCAGCAGGAACTGTCCAAAGCCCCTGTTGACTCTTGTAAATAGATTTATTTGTCCACAAGCTCGAATGCAGGGGTTCATGTGCACGGGAAGAATGTCTGAAAAGAACCAAAAACATCCAAAAAGAAAGACTACCTGCACCTTCAAAGGGGTGCTCAATGGAGATCTCCAAGTAGCGTAGATTCGTCTATCGGCGACGGTGCTGGTAGGCTAGCTATGGCCACATCAAACAATGTCCAGGAATCCTGATCTTCCGGAGGCTTGGTATTGAACTCAAAGACACCTCAAGGATCGATGCAACTCGTGTTCCGACCATTCCTTTCAGGCACCGAAGGGTCGGATTTCACTCTCCATTGGCCGATCTTTCAACCACCGCCACTCCACCGATCGTCGTCTCTCCCGTCTTCGCCCGGGCCCCTCGCCGTCGCCGACGGGCGAACCCTGACCGGTCCTCGATGTCGATGTCACCGTTGCAGTCCGAGTCCTGGCCGTTGGCGGCGTCCGCGGCCGACCGTTCCGGGGCGGCGTGACCGAGGTGGGGAAAGCGAGTCCTAGCGAGCACCAGGACCAGGGGCGGATGAAACATCACTTTCAACCTCGGGTGCAGGTTGAAGTAGCATTGAAACGGATGGTCCCGTCCCTATAGCAGCATAACCTACGAAGGAAACTCACCCCCGGGTTTGAAAAACAGAAACAAAGCGACGTGGGTGACATGTCGATCTCAGGCATTTGCTCAGCCGGAAACTGGCTCATGTGGTTCATTTGACCACCTATAGTCCCATTAATACAGTTTGACTTCTTCTGATCTATGGATGCATCCCTGGCAGCCACAGGCCAACCGGTCCGACAGCCTGTGAGGGCACTTGCTTGCTTGTGTTCCACTCCTCACTCGTCTTCACTCGCGAAAAAAGGAAGGCGAGCCATCGAATCCGGCTTGCGTGCATCGCGTGCATCGCGCGCGCGCGCGACATCGCGGGGGGGGTCCAGCAGGGTGAAGATGATCTTCGTCTCGTCTGGATCGATGTCCAAGCCACTGAAATAGGCCTTCACCTATGGATCGGATGCATGGAATGGTCATGGAAGAAAGAGTCATATTCAACGGCCACAAGAAGGGATGTCGAGAAAAGCACGACACATAACTGCTTTTGTTTTCATGGAGAATCCACGAAGACCACGGCAAACAATGCAATTTCATGATGAATGCAACGACAGGATTTTCATGAGTCTCACAATTCTTCTCCATCCCTTCACAGGTCTCTCTCTCTCTCTCTCGCGTCTTGCGTCTCTCTTCCTGGACTTGTCACGGTTCGCCAAGATCCTGGGGACCCCAGCGACTGGGTTGGACATGTGTGCTTGAAACTCCTCATAGGTCAATGTGCCCGATGCATCCTGGCCACAGGTGCATCCAAGTGAGCCGAGAGCAGGAGAGGGTGGGACATGCAATTTTTTTTCCTGCGGTGTGCATCTTTTGTTAGGGGACATATGTGATTGCTCAGTGGACTTGAGCAAACCAGAGTCCTTTGGATTTGGTTATCAAGTCGCAAAACACTTCGCAGAAAGTTCAGATCCTAGCTAGGCCGCTAGGCGATCTCAACCAAGGGATCTGGATGGATCTGGTCAACATGTCTTGATCCGCTTTTGTTTGACAAGGAGATAGGCCTTAGGACAGGGCAAACCGGTAAAACAATGATTGGATCTTTGAGACGGCGCAGAACTTCTGTCTGTGCGCCCAAAACAAGAGTTTGAACATGTTTGAAGCACACTGGATCCATAAAACTTGTTCAGGGTGATAGCGCCACTCTTGAGGCACGAACAGCGAAGAAATCACAACACAGTAGGCTTGGGCCGTTTCAACTATCGATCTCTCAGCTGTGCAAAGTTTCGGCTCCGCGAAAGGAAGCAAGGAAGAGACCCTCCCGAACATCCCTTTCCGGTGCCGACCCGGCTCCCGACTCGGCGATCGCACCTTGTCGGCCTTTTTCAAGAAACCTTTGATCGATTCGGTCATGGACTTCATCTCATCCAAGTAGCCCTCGCTTCGGCCGCGTGCGCCGCGAAACGTCGCTTTTGGACGGACCTGGTCCGCATCCGGAACCTGTGCGCCTGTGGACTCTGGCAATGCGTTGGGGTGACTCGGGAGGCAATTGGTTTGCTTTTCTATGTTGCTTCAAAGCTGGTGTTCGATCTACACACGCAACTGCGGGGAATCTCGGCCATCCTCAGCTCCTTGCTTTTGCCGAGGTGGTGTTTAAGACTAGCCCGTCACGGGTCAAAACGCCAGCTACGGAAGCTCAACGAGGGGATCACCTCCGGCCACCTGTCCCCCTACTGCCGACTCGATGATCGGGTTTGTTCTCACAGTGAAGAACTGAGTGGCACCGTTCTCTAGGAGCGACCGAGGAGTTATGGTGCCATCCATGCGTATCGCCCCCTGTATGCTTCGCCCACCTGAGTGAGACCGATCGGTTCAAGGGAGACTTGCTCCGCTTCGTTTAAAACTCTTGGTCACCGGCCGCGTTGAAGAGAAACCTCGTTCTGGGAATCCAAGTGCCACGATCTCATCCGACCCCGCTTTCCACTTCTGCCCACTTCTGGCCCACTTCTTTCCATGGCCTGCACGATCTCATCCTCCGTGCGGGTGCACACGGCGCTGTCCACGAAAACACCCGTGACCACGTTGAAGAGACCGACCACGCCTCAGATCAGCTCGCGGATGGCTCGCGGCAGTTTCGCCACTCAAGAGATCTGGAACCTGGAGAACCCCAACTTCCTCGCCTCAAAAGGCAAAATTGAGGCTTGAGCTGGCAGCCCAACAGGTGGGAGCATGGTGACAGGTGGACCATGCGAAACGGAGTCACACGTGCCAACGGACCTGTCGCTCAAACATCTTCCCACGGGCTTTCGTGTTTATATACCTTTCAAGAGATTTCGAGAGTTATACAGTTTTTCTCGCGTTGGCAGGCTCTCTTTTTTTGCTTTGGGGCCAACGCTCGGGCCAAAACAACTCCCAAGGCACAGAATGCGATGTAGAAGTTGAAGACCAAAAAGTAGAATTCGCCCATCCCGGGACCTCGGGCTTTGCGCCGGACCAGGCATCGTTCCTCCTTCCCCGGACAAGGCGTCCGAGGTTTGTTGTGCGTTGCACGGGGGGGGGGGCACGGAGCACGGGGGCACGTCGGTGTGTGTGATGATCGAACATGGGTGAGTGCATTGGCCGAACATGATGAACAACTACAGTGATATCGTTCACCATCCGGTCTGGATGTACTGTCTGGACATCTCTAAGTATTGTAGGGTAGTCCATTGGACACCCATTGGATGGTCTTGGTATACTCAAATACTATTACGTACTTTAAACATCCCGATCAAAGCACCATGCGTGACAGGGTATGTAGGGTGAAAGGAACACTTTTCTGACCCTGCTTCGTTTGGCCCAAGAACCACCCACAGCTCCGTACTAGCAAGAAAGGGCTTCAGAACAACTTTGTACCCTTCACGGAGGCACAACTTGTGCAATTCACAACCCAAAAAACCACATCCCTTGTGATGTCTGCGCTTTGTCTTCATCCAAAAACATATCGATGGCCAAGCGACTCAAATCCTTTAAGAGTTCCGCATAGAACATCCAATCATTGCCACCACTCACAGCCTCACAGGCTAGCGTGCTTCCTTCTCGAGCGTGGCTCCGATTGTCGTGTGGGCGGTGCATACAATGCGCCAAAGGAATCTAAGACGACTGTGGAGGGCAACCCCAAGATGAGATTTAGAGGCAAGTGCCATGCTGTTCTATCTAAAAACACTTTGCCAACAACAAAAGCGCTATCTTCAGTTTTCCCTCTCCCGAGCCCCTATCGACTTGGACAAACATTCCCCCTCAGCCTCAGCCCCCCATTACTTTTTTTGAACACCACTACTTGCATTCAACACTTTCAGCAAAGGGAAACCAATCAACACTATCAACACCATAGATCCATAGCTCACTCTCTCGCTCTCAAAAGAAAGGAACGCAGCTCCAAGGCACACTCCAAAGCGAACGCATCGCACCTCGGTTTAAGCGGCGCCCGCAAAGTCGACCATTTCATCGGTCCAACCCGCTGAGCGGCGAAGGCTTGAGACTCATCCGGTTTTTGAGATGTTTTTTCAGACCCAAGGAGTCATGAACCAAGGAGTTCTCTCCAGTCATCGCGAAAGGATAAAACAGGTTTTTCAGACCCACAGAAAGACTGTTTGCACTTGGGTTCACATTGGAGGCCTCTTGGGATTGGGACCCTCTTCTCCTTCCCTTTGCAAATTCAGTGCCACTTGGACTGCACTTCCACCCCACACCTCTCCAATTCCTCCGGCCCAAACGACGAACCAACTACGACGCCCCCGACCTCGACGTCCGACCGGTCCGACCTCCCCGGTCTTCCTCCGGCCGCGCGGCTGTAGAGGCTGCCGTAATGCATGTTGAGGTCAAACTGCGCTTCCACCGTCACGAGATCGGTGGACTGGCGGCGTGGCGGCGTGAGGGCGTTCACCACGTGACCGAGAAGCGGGGCCAGATGGAGGGGCACGGTGCCCCCCTGTCTGTCTTCGTTTGGTTCGGGAAGTCCATTGGATCGGAAAAGAGGTAACGACCATTTCGGACCAAGTGGTCATGCCGTCCATGGTTATTTCAAGGTTAATGGGCGGATCATGGGGAGTGTATCAGGGAGATATCAACATTCAGGTCCCGTGCTTATGGGTTCAAGGCATGGGGACCTCTTGGGAAAGAAAAACATCCACGGATTTGGTACCAAGCATGTGATTTGTGGCGGATCCGTTGCGGAATTGACTATAACCCATACACTCCATGGGACTGCCATATATGCTTACATTGACCCCCCAAACCACCCCAATGTAGGCATATATGGTATACGTATATGTATACATGGAGCGTTTGGGTAATAAGACCCAACAAATCGGCATTGTGCTCTTTGGAAGCCAAGCAGTTTCACATCGCAGGAGAAGGATCCCCAAAACGACAGCCCAAACCCCAACGTGCCAGTCGGAAGAGTTCCCAACGACTGGAGCTCCATCTCTGTTCACGGAAGCTCCTTGTGGAACCGCCGGGAACCTCTGTGAATCTTCAGTAAGGGAGGGTATGAGATGGTGGATTCTCCCTGAATCTGCCATATCTGTCATCGCCAAGTTGCACTGATTGCATCAAAGTGAGCCGCAACAGCCTCGGCCCGGCGTTTTTGTTGGGAATATTATTTTTCTTTTGTGGACGTCCATGGCTTTGGTGCAGAAAAGGCCAGCTCCAACACTCTGAGCAGGTGCAACAAAATATTTGCCCACGGCATGGCAGCCTACTCCTCTATCCAGCACTGGGAGGACCTTCAAAACCAAGCCACAAGGGTATAACATCCAGAAAAAAGTATGGACAGCTCTTGAACCTGTCATAACCGGGTCACCGCGCCGTGTCCCACAAGTATCCTCGATTCTACCACGTTTTTCCGCACATGGAATTCATGCCTACTTCTCACGCGCTTTGCCCCGCTGCCCCGCGTAGCTTGCAGCGCCCTCCAAGCGGCGTTGTTGAAGATCAAGCTAAAGACGAAGACCTCGAAATTCCGTGCGGACGAAGGCTAGTAGTAACAAGAAGCTACGAACAAGTGCCTCGCTTCTAGGAACAAGTGCCTTACTAGTAGTAACAATGTTTGCTATTAGAATTAATAAGGCCCACTGTTCCGACCCCGTTCACCGTTGAAGCTTCATCCCAACAGCGATCCGTCGGGTTGACCCGTCGGGTTGACTTCGCGGGTGGGGTCGTTCCATGTGTGGTCGATTGGTTCGCTTTCGACCTCTTTGCCAAAGGCGCTCAGGGGTTGTTTGACCCCTTCCGTTTTCTCTGCGTTTGTCATGAAATAACCACCAAATAAGGAACCTTTGGAAAAGTCCAGCCTGGCGCAGCAGCGCAAGATCTCTCCAAATGTCACGACAGGAGGTGTATACAGGTCAAAAGCCGAGAGCCAGTGCCATCGAAACCGGCCGAATCCAAACCCACTCATGGTTCCGTTCTCTGGCCATCGATGGTTGCTTTCGATGGCCAGGAGACTCCACTCGACCGCCGCCGTACGGCGGCAGTCGACGGGGTTTCGGGTCTCTGGTGTTGCGCCCTTCGAAGGTATGCCGCTAGAGGAGGTGATACGATCTGCGTCCAACTCAACAGAAATGTGATGAAATATGTTTTGGACGATGACCTGGTCTGCGTTGACCATCTGATGGTCCAACTGCACAAGGTTTTGTCTGCAGATTTCTCCATCGGATGGTTGTTTTCTGGACAAACCAATGCGTTGAGAACTGGAGGAACACTGGCAAAACATGGCGAAACTGACTAGTGTCTCCAGACATACAAATGCACGTCGACGTTCTAGTCGTGGTTTGCAACATCTTCCGGCCAAAACTATCAATTGATCATCCAACATAGTCTGAGGCAGTGCCGAGCAAACCCAAACCCAGCAAACCGAGCAAGCAAGGCGAACATGAAACATCAACCCTCAGGATCATCTATTACATACAGGGACATACAGGGCTTCATCCAACAAACTTTTGAGGGGGAGTTGCTGTCAACATACGTCCGAGACTTGGATCCAGAAAACATCTGCGTTCTGCGAACCAGCCAGAATCCGTGGATATCCGTAGAACACATTTTCGCAGAAAGCAGTCTTCCACCTCTGTGGCAGCTTCGTGTCAAACCTTTGCAGCCTTAAGGATCAGACCGCGTCAAAAAACACTGACACCATGCTACGATCTCAACCAATCCCACGTTTTGACTTTGCTAGCTGACACTGCAGCACTCTCTGCATTCCATTCCACCCAAAAACGAAGATCAAAAAGCAAGACGCAGCCGCAAAGCAAAGCTCTTCGACCGTGCGCCCGAGCGACGATTAACAGCACCACTTGTAGTGCCCAAAGCAAATCCGCGAAGGAGTTGAGCATGGCAAAGATCATGGTACCTCAACCGGCTCGGAGGCTAAGCGAAGCAAGAAGCGAAGCAAAGCCAAGCGAACTCGCCAAGCGAACGAGCCTCCCACCACATCCAGGGGACGGGTCAAAGGGTACGTTCATGAGGCTCTTTGGGGGCACAAGCTGGTTGTGGTGGGTGTCTTTGGGTGCTGGATTCGCCTGCAGTGGTTGAATCCTTTTACATCGGTTTTGGTCTGGGTGATTCCTCTCTCGCGATTGGTCCATAACGTTGGGGTTGGGTTGCGGCCATAGTGTGGTTTGTCATCAAAGGTCCTGAAAAACCTCACCAATGCAACACCTTCTTGAACAGTGGCTGAAACCACCAATGCTTGGGGTCATCGAAATCACCTTCTGTGGCTCAGTGGCTCTGCCCCACTCAAGCGCCACACCCATCGTGTGGCCCAAGCAACGCCCACGCCTCTCCTCTCTTTCCCACGCTCGCCACGCTCCCCACGCTCGTCGCCCAGGGGCGTAACTTCCGTAAGGCCTTCGCGGCACGGTGTGGGGCCGCTGCGGGGGGAAGGCGACGACCGGGACCCAAGCCCTCTTGGGGTGAGGCTTTGCAAAGTCTGAGAGGGGTGAACTACTTCTCAATCTTGGTTGAAACATCAAGGATCATCTGCCTTGGGACGTCGATTTCTGGTGGAAAAGACTCCAAAGTGCTATCACACATCCATTTGTAATTGTGGTTGGATGGTCTGCTCTGAAAGTACGGACAAAAGAGGGTGCATCCTATGGTATAAAAACGTCACCAGGAGGGACTCTTCCAATTGACCCGCTGAATGTCGAGGCACTCGCGAGGAACCGGGGAACTTCCTGTCGCAAGTACGGAAAGCCCACATACCTTTTTGACCCTTGGATGCCTTCCGAACCTGACACCCTGAATCCATGTGGGGGTTGTTCAAACTTAAAAACTGCATTTACTAAACAGGTAGAGGTGGGTCTTTGAACGACGCTCATGGTCTTTTTCATGCTTCTTCTGCCTTCTCTCAACTGGTCTTCTCTCACCCGAACCGCCCGACCGCTCCCGGAGAGCTCCACTCCTCCACTCCAACCGCTCCGCTCTAACCGCCGACCTGCACGGTCCGCACCAGCCGCACGATGCGCACCAGGCGGAAGACGCGGACGATGCGCAGCAGGGCGAAGGAGGAGCCCGCGCCGAAGTCCCAGGTCAACGTGATCAGCGACTCCTGGCCCGGTGGGATCAGCCCAGCACCGAAGTGGCCCGGTGGGTCGGAAAGAAAGGACGGAAAGAAAAGAATCAATGCGGAGGTGAGGCTGAGGTATTTGTTGAAAGGTTTTTCGTTTTTCGAGACGTTTTGTGGTGAGTTGTCCTTCTCTCCCTGTCCATTTCGACACTCCACTCTCTTCGCTCTCTTCGCGTGCGCCGCCGTCCGGGCGTCCCCTGGGCGTCCCCGGCCGTGACGAGGAACACGTCCAGCGCGTTCCAGAACTTCTCGTCGCCTCGCGGTCTCGCCACACCCCCGAGACGCGGACGAGTGGGGGAGGGGACTGGTTTTCTTCGATCCTGCTTGAGGGGAGGGGCGAACGTGTGAAGAAGACTGGTCGTACCATCTGGCTTGAACAGGAGAGACCATTGACTGAACGCTGTCTTTTTTTGACTTTCTTCTTCAGTTTTCTCTCTGGAGTTTTGTGTTTAACTGGGGACTCCCATGAGTGAATCACACCTAATTAGGCCTCTGTTTGGTGAGTTTTAGAAAGGTAAACCACTTTGCCAGGCAGGGCAACCACGGCAAACCCTTGGAAGTTGTCGGCTATTCGGTCTTCGTAGACATGTTCCACTATATTCACTCCAAGGCTTTTGGCATCTCACTTGCCACAGTTGTCGACACTCCCTTCTCTTGAAGATTCATTGACCTTTGGCCGTGGTTTCAGCACAACCATGGCGCACGACCCTTGGCCCGACTACAGTCGACTACGGTGGAGGAAATGCCTGGACGTTCCAGCGATGGTGCACCGTCCGGGCGCAGATCGTGGGCGCAGCACGGGGATTCGTGGGTGTCATGAGTCGGAGTCACTGGGCGCCATAAGCTAATACCCATACACTCCTTGGGACTGCCATATATGCCGATCAGTCGGGGTGGGCCATGAGGGGTCAATGTAGGTATATATGGCAGTCCCATGGAGTGTTTGGGATAAGGACCAAACGAGTGATGAGTTCGTGTCCTTTCGGGGCTGGCGCCCAGCTGGCTCTGCCTGCCTCACCAGCCGGGCCGTTCGCTTGAAAAGCATCTTTCGTCTCAGGTCCAAAACGGGTGGACCCCGATGTTGCGGTCTCTGCAAATGGGCGAGGATCCCTCAGCAAGGTGGTAAAGTGAAGACAACTGTGATCAACTGTGTGGACTTACCATCACCGATGCTGCCTATCTCCTCCATATGCACCGGTCCCTCACCGGTGCCCGACTGCCTGTGATGAACTGGATCTTTTCGGCGGCCGCACGGATGATAATCTCGATGGCAAACCAACCTGGAGCGGCAGAAGCCCACGGTGAAACACCAGCTGACACCAGCGTGGGAGGTTCCCACGAGGGTGGTCCGGAACTGTCGCCTAAACCCCCGGGGGAAAAGCATGTGGGAGACGTAAACACTCATTGGTTTGATGTTGAGACAAAGTACTAGAAGCTTACCCAGCGGATCCAGTTATCACAGCTGGCAACCAGTAGTTACAAAGACCAAAACTATAGACCTAGAAACCATATTTCCTTATATAGTGGAAACTGGGATCCACTGGGTTATAGACATGAGATTAAGTACGATCAGTATGACCTCTTTCCATCCAAAGCCATGTAGCTGGCCTAAACACTCTATGGTTTTGAAGTTGAAGCCACTCCAAAATCCACTGAATCGCAAATCTGGGGTCCTACACCCGGGAAGATTCACAGGGAACCTGAAAATGGACCTTTGGAAGACTATTTCCTCTACAACCCCATGGTCTCAGGTTCCATGTTAAAGTGTATTGCCACTGGAGTGTTTTTGAAGGAAGTACACCAGGAAGATCGCATTCCAGTCGATCGGGGAAGGGCCACGAGGCAGGTGTCTTCTGTCGATGCGGTCGATACTGGTTAAGTATATAGCCTTAACCAAAGACCTGGGATCATCAAAGTAATCCTACACTATGGCGACATCGCATCGAATGAGTTGTAGAGGAAAACCGCCTTCCAAGGGGCCAGCGACTTTCATACTGGCTGTGCTAGCCAGGTTGAAGTTTCTGGAGGCGTCGACGCTTAAAGCGAGCGACGGAATTGGGCGCTCTGCCCCCGGTGGACGGAGGGGGACCCGCCACCCCGTCCACCCCCACACACACCCCACACCGATCGCATGCCCAGTCACCAGCAAAGGCCTCAAGGCCGGGGCGCAACGCGAAGGCTCCGGACGATCGAGGAAAAACCACCAACGGAGGATCCAGGGTCCGTACGCCGTACGTTCTCTGCCATAGGTTGGGTCTTTCCTAAGCTCCCAGGTGCTGATGAAGCGATGGTGTGACATACCTTCACATATCTTCACAAAAAAAGAATGGGAAGGTACCGTGCCAACGAACACTCCCTATTGAGGTTCCAACGATCCTTTCGGTGGCTGGTCACGGGTCTCACTCCCACCATGGACGGGTCAACCGTGACCGGCCACCCCGTCGCACGCAAACACCGGATGGTCTTCACTTCGCGCTCCCTTGGAGCGGTCACGGCAAATCAAAAGAAAGACCCTAGGGCTGCAGGGACCTCCTCAGAAGGTATTTGGACCCTCAAAACTTACCCCAGTCCCACCTTCTCAGAAGGTTTGAAGCCCTAGGGAGAACAAAGGCTGGTCGACCAGTCTCGTTGAATCGTTGAACAATCTCTTCCGTAGAGCTCACCGACTCTCGGTCTGACCACTCGGTCTGACTCGATCGACGCGAAACCAAAAGCGTCGACGCCCACTGGACCGGTGGCGAAAGCCAATTGACGCTGAAACGAAGGGCCAAGGTTCTTGTAGTTTGCTGTGGAAAGGGCCTTCTTTTGGGTTGGGCGGGTTGCTTTTACCAAGAAACATAATTGTATTGATTCTATTGGAGCACTTTTAAGCCATGATGGTGACAATGGTCCCTATACCTATAGAACCTGACTGACCCCTGTTTCGGAGCCCAAAACATGGTCTTTTCCTATCAAAACAGAGGTCAGTTCTACCAGTATATTCTAGAACTGCGCATCATACTGAATCATCCTACAATTCTCCTTGAACCTCCTCTCTTTTCTCGGCCCGTTCTCCAAGGGGCCCAGTCCACCGCCGTGGACTTCTCTTCGATCGGCTGCTGTCGCAACTTCCGGTAGCTGTTCTTCACCTCGGACCCACCGGTCACCCCGCACCGAACCGAACCGGTGACCCCGGGACCTCGCAGGGCCCGTGGTGGTGGGTCCTCGACCTCGGTCGTTCCGTCGGGTTTCGGTTTCGTCCGAGAGGCGTTGACGTCAGCCGCCCAGCCCAGGTAGAGGGTGTTGGCCACGATGGCAATCATGGCCAAGCTCTTGAAGACGACGCCTCTTAAAAGAGGAACGAAAGACGAGTTTCAACACACAATTTTCGCACACACCTCGAGTCACTCTTTATACATATCTTGATAATCTGCATGAAAACTGGAACAAAGTGGCAAATGCAGTATGATGCTGGTCATGTGAACTTTCCAACAGGTCTATGCTGGGGACCATCTGCCAGTGGTCGGATGCAAGCAACCTGGTGATCGCTAACACTCGTCAGTCATGGCGGACTTCTGAGCGGGAGTTGATCTCATTGGGTGAGCACCGGGCACCGGAGAGAGCCTCTGTTAAACCAAGCACGGTCTATTCTCATGGCAGCAAAGTGGGGCACAACCCATTAACAAAGACGATCAAACCCTTTCCTGCAACTTCCAAAGGTTCATGTTCTTGATCCACCGTGGAGAGACACCTATAGTTATTTCATGATCTCCACGTTTCATGTCAAGATCTCCAACCGTTTCTCCTTCCTCCTTCCCCTCCCCGGTTTCTTGCGCTCAAGCACCCGACCCTTCGTCATGTCCGTCAACCCTTCCCGTTCGCCGGTGGCCTGAGGCCACCCGTTGGATACAGGTGCCCTCGTCGGCCGTGATCATCCGAATGGCGTCGTTCCAGGACCTCCGCGGCGGGTGGAGAGAGACGTAGGTCGTAGGTCGTACGTAGGTCGTAGGCCCGGGATGGGATGAATCCGCTGGATGCAGAAGATACATGCCAGCAAGATAGATGCACATTATTAAAAAGACATAAAGAACCCGTGTAGATCCGAACCTTTGGTGGAATAGAAGATATTAGAAGCAAGTTTAATCCAACTCTGCTGTTGATCTTCTGATTTTAATCCTGCCAACATTCACAGATTTTCCAGATTCACCTTTACTAGCCGCAAGCCGGGCCCCCTAAACCCCCAATCAGCTTGCCAAACCAAGAAAAACAAGTAAGATCATTTGGCTTGTCAAGCGCTCACTTTCACGCATACGACATGACACCAAAATGCAGCACAAGCGGCTGGCCGAAGCTTTTCCGCTTTGAGGCATTTTCACTTTCTGGCGAGAGTTCGGGCGCGTTGGGCAGCAACCCATGAGGAGTGGGTTGCAGCCACAGCTGCAGGGTTACAAGATGTTACAAGTAGAGTGTTGGGAGGGGTTCCAAATTTCCACTCAAGGATCGACAAAGAGGTACAGTAATACTGGGATTCTCCTGGCCAGCCTTGTGTGAACCATCGGCCCAGTATGACACAAAGAGTTGCCATTGATAGATTGATTACATTGGTTCCATGAGGGCACGGGTAGTATCTACGGCAGGTATGGAATCAGCGAATCAGCTTGCTCTGGCATGGACCCATTCCCCTGAATGAATGCTCCTCCACAAGCAATGGTGACACTAATGGCGACATAATGCGACTGTTCAAGAACCTGCAAGCCCCACGACGACCGTGTAAAATGTGGCGTGGCGGACCATCAAAGGGATTTCTTTTGAGCATGTTCATCCTCAGTGGCAAAGGCAGCGGTAAAAACGGGTAAAAAGGTGCCGAGGCGAAGATCATGTGTGTCGACAGATGTGTTTTTGATTCAACCTCAACACCGCAGCACATAGCTGGCCTTTAGAGTGATGAGAATGGTCTCATCACTTAGCTCTTTGACACCAACCCGTTGAGACAACGTCTCCATCCGTCTCCATGTCTGAAGGATCGCTCCCAATGCCGGGCTGTCTCCGCATGTGGCACCACAAAAGAAAAGGTCAAGTACCACCCAACCGCGAGAGGCTGGGAACATGGAACATACTTGGTGAAGCCTACGATGCTACTGGCTTACCAGGTTTGCTTGCTACTAAGAATATCTAAGAATTAAACATCAAATACTGTAATAAGAAGGCCCCTTTACATGAGGCCTTCTGGACTTGAGGCCCTTTGTCTGCTTTGTGGAACATTCTTGTCGGTTATGTTGTCCCCTTGATTCTTCTCCCCTGCCCCCTTCATCGACCCACACCACAAAAAGAACCCTCGCGTGCCCCTTCATCGCTGCTCAGCCACTTGGACGCCGCCAGAGACTCATTCTGGCTGGCCGCGTCGCCCTGGACGGAAGGAAGCCGCTGCGTGGCACCCGTACTCTCCGGGTGAGCAGTGCGAGTGTTCCTTGATATTTTGTTGTGAACATGGTGCCTCAGTGTACATCAGTGAACATTTTCCTTTTATATCTTTTATTTATGTATTTTGTTGTGAACATCAGTAAACATGGTGCCAAACTTCTGGAAGTCTCCCTGACGTCCTTGGGAAGATGATACGTCCCTTCAAGTTCTGTCTTCAAGTGCTGTCTTCGTGCTTTGGAGCAAACAGTTCCCCCCCAAAGTGTTGGACATACTGAAGGCGATCGCTGCTAAGGAGGACCCAACCATGCTTTTTTCTGTGTGATTCAGCAGAGTCACAATGAGTTTGAAGGGTCATGGAATGAGGTGTCTGACAAGCCTTCCAGAGTGTTGGCTTTAGGCTCCGAACTCGCATCTATAGACGGTTAAATAGCCAACGATCCATGCAAGTGCCAGCATCTACCCGATCACATGACATTGACTCTGACTCCTTTTGTGCATGCTAAAGTCCACCCACCACCCCTTGTCTAAGCAAAACTTCACTTCTGCTGAGTGCTGCTCAGCACTGCTTCGACGCTGCCAATGCTAGCCAGCACCTCCCTTCTAGGCCAGTGAACTGGCCAAAAGCAAAGACCGATTAGCCATCCAGTCAAGACTAAGGAAGGCACCCCGCCACCCAGGCCGCCCCCCCCAAAAAGAACAACTCTCGTCTCCAGGCCGACGCAACGTTCGCGCCGCGCCGGCCGGCGCCTGGCGTTCGTGGCGCTTGAAGGACAGTTCTCGTCTCACTTCATTCGTGGTGACCTTCGCTTCTTCAAGCTCCGCGCGGCGGAGATCGGAGTGGTTCGGTGAACGGGGACCGTTCGGGGCTCGTGGAGCGCCCCCCCCCCCGAGCATGGCGGGAGCGAGCTCCCACACGGGTCGGTCTCGGCCACGAGAAGCGCTGCCAAAGGGAGGGGTCATGGCGCTCATTCGATCGACGGGAAATCGGCGGGTCCCACCTGATTCGGACCTTCGAACGAAAGAACGGTCCAAAAGCGTCAAACGAAAGAGAAGAGGCGTGCCATCTTGGAGAGAACGGTCCGTGGTGATGGTGAACCTCGGAGTTGCTGGGGAACAAAACAAGGGACCGACCCCGACCCCACCCGGCCCGCCACCGGAGAACCCTCCTGGTCCGGTTGCCAAGAGAAACCAGCGTCCAAGAGGCTCGAGAGACCTTGATGCGCTCATGATGCGCCTCCATGTCCTCCTGGAGGCCAAAAGCAGTGGAAACAGCTTAGAAGCACTACGGGTCAGGGAGATTTGAGAGGCTTTCGGCTGTTCAATGGAGCTTTCTTTTTGGTGGCAGTCGAGATGCCACTCATATGGGAACCTTGACCTTCCACCACCATAAGAAAAACCGCACAAAGCCGAAGCTGAACTAGCACGATCATGCAATCTTTCTACACCCGTGAAACTACGACGACCAAGACCAAATGAACCCGAAGACGACCCTCCCCCACGCAAACAGTCAAGAGAGTCACCCCAAAACAGACTTTTAACGTAACTCTTCCGCAAATTGGTTGACACCGATAGCACTGGCCTCGGGCGCAATGGGATCGCCTTGGTGGAGCAGCTGCCATTGGTGACGCACGGACGCTTTCCACAGATCATGGAAGAAGAAACACCCGAAACCTTTGACTTGCTTCCGCAAAGAACCCCGGAAGACCCCAGGCCAGGAGGGAGGGCTTTCGGGAACATCCCAAAAGCCCGGCCTCGAACATCCAAAAGACCCACCGCCTGCGGACCGGTCGTCCCATCGACGCCGAGAGGCATGTGGCGATGGGCTCCGTGGACGGTGGCCTGCCCGCTTGGTCCACGCTGGGCGGCGCGCTGGGCGCGCTGGGCGGTGCTGGAGGTAGGAATGAGCAAACAGAGTCTGGAAGATGCGTGATGGGGGGAAAACAACATGAGTCAGTCGTTTGGATTTCAACTGGGCGGCTTTCGGTCCAACGGTCTGGTCTAATACTTGACACTGCTCCGATCAGCCAAACCGCGCCGGAGGTTCGGTGCGGGGCGCCGCTCCGCGTTCGTTCTCGCCTCTCTTCGATGTACTCGGGCCTCGGCACGACCTGGTGCGGGGCCAGCCGCGGCTTCGCGGCTTCGTGCGCCCGGGGGAGCACTGAGGAGTCACGGCCGCACGGGCCTTGGGTGGTTTTGGTGCGTCCCATCCGTCGGGGCGGATGTGAGTTCTGGACACCCCGGCGGCACCCTCCAAGTTTGGAACTTCATTTTTGCACACATATTGCATATAGCCTATAGCTATTACATGGTTACGACCTACGACCTGGGTGTGCTGTCTAAAGATCCATGGCTAGCGTAGGGGCCCGTCTATTGGTGACCCATTGGATGATGCAGGTCATATAAAAAAGAGTGATCCCGCCATGATCCCATTGTATCGAGTGATGGACCCCTGTTTCGGAGCGAAAAAAGATGAGGTCCAATGGGTTCGAAAACGATGGGAGGACCTCTAGACTTCCCCACCCTTTCCCTGAAAACAGCTTCAACGACATCGCTGGAAGAGGACACCCTCGGAGTCCAGAGAAGTCAAGTGTTGTGTTTTAATGTGTTTTAATGGCTCTGCAGCTTCGATGGCCTGAACACCAGCAGTTCCTTGATGTTTTCCAAGAACATGCATATTACCTTTCATTGTCCTTGTCTATATGTCTCTCATCATATCTCATCTATCTCTGAATCTTCTCTTCCTGCAACGCGCCAATACACTTCGCACCTCGTCGAAGTTCACCGACTTCTTTTCGCGGGCCTCCGCCGGACCGGACCGGACACCGCGTCGCTCCGTCTCGGTCCACGCTCGGGCGACGCGTAGCTCGAGACGATCCGGTGAACGACTCAGTTCGTTCTTCGA